AATAAGAATCTTTGAATATTGGTGTGTGTGTGTGTGTGTGTGTGTTATATATAAACTTACAGTACATTTCTCATTTAGAACTCGTAACTCTCGCTCTTTATATGAGTTCGATCCTAGTTGAAACTAGTAGTAAATATTAGTTTCGATCTTTACTTAACTCTTTCTCAGTCGAAGGCAAACAGCTAACTAGTTCATCAGTACTTACGGAAAGCGAAAAGTATATTATATTATAAGAAATATATTATAAATATTTTATAACACATTCATTTTTTTAATGCCTGAAAGTTCGCATCAGCTTTGTCTCATTATTGCTTGCTGATTAAATTCAATATTAAATTTAAAGTTTTGTATTTTTACAAAGTATTATTATTTTGTTCACATTTTGCAATATAATGAGAATTATCACACACATATTAATTATACACGTCATATAAAAATGCTTTAAACATTAATATCAACTTTGACGCAATTATATTTTACATTACTTTCCCTTTGATGTTTTGTTTACTTTAATATTTTTATGCAATGTTATAATTATTACAATACTAGCTGTTTGCGCGGCAAAAAAATAAAAATTTGTTTAAATTACACTTATGAATTATATTACTATGCAACTGGCAACGAAATTAATCGAACGTACATTCCATATTCATATTCAATATTGGAAACATGTATGTATATGTACATGCATACATATCGGGTATATATATACATGTCGGCATCACGTTGCAGAATTTGGATGCGCTTCATGATCATTTGGGTACGTTATATCCGGGCATGAGAGCACCCTCTTTTAGGTGCACAGAGAGACCCGAGGATGGCGCGCTTATTTTACATTATTATTCTGATCGACCTGGTCTGGAACACATCGTTATTGGAATTGTTAAGGTATTCAATTTTAGCCTGATGAAAATATATAATTTGTTATGCAAAATTCGAGATTTTCGCAAAGCTTAAGTTATAAACTTTGAATATTCTTGAAAATATATATTCAATACTTTGAAAAAAAGAACATTAAAATTTTATTCGAGGAAAATGTAGCGAAGATTTATCGAGAATTTCTTAGTCAAATATATGGAAATATAAATGGTAGAAGAATTTTTCTTCATTTTTAAATAGACCGTCGCAAAAAAACTGCACGGCACCGACGTTGACATGCAGATAGTGAAGACGAAAAGCGAATGCGATCATGTGCAATTCCTTATAACTGAAGCGTCAGGACCTGGAGTCGTGTCAAACCCTATGATTGCTGAATTGGAAACATTATCCGTCGGTGAGTCGTTGTTTGTTTCGACGAAGAGGATCGATAGAAATCATTTGATGATAAAAATATGTTTACAATAGATTACAATATGATTATAATACGTTTAATAAATAAATATCTCAAATTAATAATTATAAGAGAAGCGTAGTTTTTACAATTAGAAGAGCAATAAATTGTCTTAGAAAATTTAATAGAGATTTAATAAATTGTCGCAGAACCAAAGGTCAGCCCGACAACGTTCTGTCGAGTTTTTCCATTCCATCTAATGTTCAATCGAGATCTTACAATAATTCAAACCGGATGTACCATAACACGTGTTATACCGCGCGTCTGCAGCGGTCATTGCAAACTAAACGACATTCTTTTAACTGTGAGTTGACGTCGTAATATTTTTATTATAATATATGTATTGTGTCCATTTTTTCTTTTACTCATCAAAAGTTTATTATAAATCTGTTTTAATGCACTTTCTGCACTTCGCGTTTTGAAAACATTGCTCATTACTGACGTTTCAGAAAACGATATTTTTCTCACTGTTAATTGTTATAGTTTTACAAATGATAAAAAAGACAATTTTTGTTTATCAATATCACTTGAGAATTTGGTTGATGCTGCACATTCGTACATTCGTATCATGAAGTATCGATCGTTAATTTTCAATATGTGTTACTAATTGTTTCCTGCGTCAAAGGAATCACATTAATGCGCAGTGCATTGCGCCTACAATTATTACATTGCACATGTCTATAAGTACATAAATGTATCAAATGCGGGTTATTGTGACTGACGTAGAGCGTGTTGTCCGAACCGAACATTTAACACAATTTGCGTTATTGTTCATACGTATCAATTGCGATGTTGTCAATTAGCTCGACATTGTAATATCTCTTAAAAATCATGAATGCATCATGCGTGACATTGTCATGAATATTATGTCACATAAATTTTATTTAAAACATCTCTCTCTCTCTCTCTCCCTTTCTAATGTGCGTTTTGATACAGGTCGATTTAATAAATTTTTAATATTCGTAGGTCAGACCACATTTGGAATTAACATTTGAGAATATATTATCGCATATTAATACTGTGTACGTGTTAAAAACGAAAAAGGGAGTTATGTGCGTCGATGCTGCAGAGGAATATTCGAACCTTCGTTTGAAGGTCAGTATATCATGAATAAATCAATAGAACAAAAAAGAATCGATGAAAAATTTTTGATAATTTGAATCTTGTAAAAATTGAATTTATATTCTAGGGTCAAATGCTGTATATACCTGAATCCGATTTAGTTATCTTTTTATGTTATCCAAGTGTTATGAATCTCGATGATTTGACTAGGTAAGATTACGTCAACTCTCTATTCTAATAATCGTTAATTCTAATTAATCGTTTCTTAATCACTTCTTTTGCAGTAAATTGGAAAGTATAAAGAGATTGTAAACTATAATAATAGATTGTAAAGTAGCTCATTATCATAAACTTTTGCACAACTTCGATGCCGTAAGACTTGGTTAAACTTGTTTCTTCTTTTGCGGAAAAGAAAGTTCTGTCGTCTAGCAATAATAATCTTAATGTCTTCGGCCAACTTCTGAATCTTTTCTTTATTTGCGTTAAGCATAATTGACTAACTTGAAAGTTTCGTTTCGTGTTGACATTACCGAAAGTTTCATATATACGTAACATATTACTTGATACGACGAAGGGAAGAGATCCGATGTCGCGCGTGACGAACGACTCTATCTTCGCGATATAGTTCTCTATCAATAGACACAGAATCTCGTATGTCAGGTTTATCCTTTTGGCTCCAGGCGAGGCTTGTACTTGAGCGACGTTCCTCTTCACGACGCCACTCGAGATCTGGTCCTGATGTCGGAGCAATTTGAGGCGGATTACAAACTGACGCGCAACTTGGAGCTGCTCACCGATAAGCTACAGCAGACATATCGCGAGCTCGACGGTGAGAAGCAGAAAACCGACAGGTAAAGATCTCCGCCTGCGGCTATTTCCTTGATTACTCCAAGAGTCTCCGTCGAGCTTTCAACGTCATTTACCAGTAACACGATTATCTGCGAAATCTGCGGCTCTCCTTCTGCCCCCGAATCGCTTCTCGCGGTGAAGAATTTTTTTCCGATGCAAATTAACGGAAATGAATTTATGATGGGATATACTGCGAAACTTTCCGCCCAACTTTTTGCTTGACAGAGCTCGAACAAATTAGAAATCTTTCCCGAGTTTTTTCCTGTATCGAGATTCTCTCTCTCGTCCAAACTATACCCAAATTCAATTCTCCTGTCAACTTGCCGAGAACTGTTTCGCGCGGATCTTAATCCGATTAGGTAAAACCAGCGCGCGCGACGTTGAATAAAAGATCATTTGTATTTTACATGTAGGTTACTTTACTCAGTGCTTCCTATTTCGGTGGCGAACGAGCTTAGGCACTCAAGACCAGTACCGGCAAAAAAGTACGATTGCGTTACTTTACTGTTCTCCGGGATAGTCGGTTTCGGAGCCTACTGTGCGGCTCATACAGACTCCAATGGCGCTATGAAGATCGTTAACATGCTCAATGAGCTGTACACGGCTTTCGACGTGTTAACTGATCCGAAAAAAAATCCTAACGTTTATAAGGTAACTGTTTATAATACATTTTATTTTTAATTTCCTTTAATTTTTATATCTTATTTATAGCAAGGGTTAGTATATGATAAAGAAAGAGATTTTTATATTATTGTTTTGTATGGAAAAAAATATAACAGATGTTGTGAATACTTTTAATGAAATACTTGAAAAGGTATATGTACATTCGGCGTAATCGCACACAAATGCTACTTCTAATTTCACGCGATATCGATCACATTCTCGAATTTGTCTCAGGTTTCCATTGCAGCTAATTCCACTTTTGGTCGGTCTAGGTGGAGACCATCGGTGATAAATACATGGCGGTGAGTGGATTGCCGGAACCCTGTCGTTGCCATGCACGATGCATCGCTCGTCTAGCCCTGGACATGATGGATCTCGCGGCTGATGAAGTGCAGATCGATGGGGAACCAGTGGTACGTGAAACATATACAAGCCGTTTGCGGGCTATATTTTGCTACGGCGACTATGGCCGCGTGAAGCGGGTTCGATAACGTGACTTTAAAAAGAGTCGATGGAAGTCAATTCAAGACTACGTTAAACGCTACACATCATAAAGCAGCCGTGTCTGTAGGGTTGCCTGATAAAAGAGATTATCAAGGCGGCTAACTGTTCGTTGACTCTGTAGAAAGTTGAAATCTCTTCTGACACACATATATATGTATATACATAAACAATATAGATGTATACATATGGTATGTGCGTGTGCGTATACTTATTGTACACTTTCGTGAGGACCAAACGGGACGTATATTCTATCTATATTAATTTTGTATACGAGGGAGCCTAACTTTGTTCGCAAAGTTAAATGCGATTTTCATGTTACTTAAATATTTGATCAGAGTTACAATACTTCGACTAGAATACCAGGACTCAGTTCTGATTTAGTTTTGAAAGTGAACCCAGTAATATTGACAAGATCAAATTGCAATTACAGAGATATATAAAAAGAAAAAGAAAAAGATAATTGACATAATAAAAAAAATGTACAATATATTTATTTATACTTGATTATAAGTTAAATTCCTAATTTAGATAATATATTAACAATGATAATTTTCTTCTATAAAATTGTTGCAAATATTACAGAAGCAAAAAATATATAAATTATATTTTTTCTTGATATTTGTTCTTAATATTTGTCTACGTATATACTAATATTTTATTATTTTTACAGAAAATTACTATTGGAATACACAGTGGAGAAGTCGTTACTGGTGTAATTGGTTATCGCATGCCTCGTTATTGTTTATTTGGAAATACTGTAAATCTTACTAGTCGAACGGAGACCACTGGCCAACCAGGAAAAATCAATGTTTCGGAAGACGCTTACAGGTAAATTATTTTATACCGGCGCGCGTACATATTGTTAATATTGATAAATTTATACATCATACATACATACATGCATATACACACGCATAGGTGATTTATCGTGAGTATACATATACAATATATATACAGGTAATTTATTTTATATTGTTAATTACATACAAATATATATGTTTAGAATATCGGTTCTTCATTTTCATAATTATGCATCTTTTACCTTACTTTCGCTTCTTTAAATTAAAGAAAGTTGCTGATGGATAACACAACTTCTCGAACGTGTACATTTTGCATCATCTCACGACATACTTTCCGCCATTCTTGAATGTTTCTGGTATTCGCATCAGACGAACAAGCATCCCTCACAAAGCGTTTCTCTAATTCTCAAGATTCATTAAATACATTGCCATTATGAGACGCTATCATCGTCGACCTTTTGAACTTGACATTTTTCTTGGATCTTAGACTTGAATGGCTTATATTATACGTCATTGTACGATCTTGCTCGTATACATGAAAAATTTCACTTACAGTCTGACACGTTTAGATATATGATTCATATTTGTCAAAAATTCCGCGTAAAGTCTGACACGTTTAGATTTAAAATTCATATTTGTCAAAGTCTCGCCTCGCTCCGTTCTTTTTGTTTTACCGAACTTCAAGATTCATGCGGCAGAAATCGCGATACTAACTTACACGGTGACTTTGACAGACTTTGACGCGTACATTTATTGAATTCCGGGTGAATGCGCGATTATATTGAGAGTCGCAGTGAAATTCTAGGACATAACTGCATACGGAGACGTGTGATAAAATATTTCTGAGATTCCATGCCGAGAGAGGAACGATCGATGTCGAACGCGAACATTGCGCTACCATCATACGACGTGCTCCGTCAATCTTGCAACAGGTCTAGATAATTTCTCAGAGATTCTGGAATCTGCAGACTTTTGATTCCGCGAGGCAACGCCCAATTTGTATAAAGAATTTCGCGAATTCGGCAACGGCACAAGTGCTTGAGTTCTGGCGGACAGGCTCCGCTACGTTCTGGAGGTATCAAATTTTGGTTCACCAGACTGGGATATTGCTCGTACAAGGACACGCTAAAGATACCGATTTGATGGGCGATATGAGCGGGAGTCCTGACACAGGCGGTAGTCACGGTTCGCAATATCAATTTCAGACATGTCACTAGGTGTTCCGGGTAAATAATCTCCTTCTGACCTGGTTGCGCTTCGAACTCGCTGAGTTTCGTCAGGATAATCTCCATCGGTGACGGGGCAAGTTTGTCAGACTCGATCGAGGCGCCGTAGCGCAACATGATCAACAGGATGTCCGGCGCGCCGTGCTGAATCGCGACTCTCAGAGGCAAAACCTGTCCGTACGATTCCATGGGCACGTCAATGAAGCGTCTCTTTATTAGGGAGGACTCGCAACGGTATTCCAATCGGCCGCTAATCGCGTGATTCAAGAAGTACACCAGGGCCCGGATATTATCCTTACGATCGTCGAAGTCGCACTTCCAGCCGGACAGGAAGTGTGTCACGCGAGTGCCGAAAATCGCCCCGACAAATAGTCGTTCGAACGTCTTCTCGCAGTAGAATATGTCGTTTAGCAGTCGGCTGACGATTTCGTTGTTGTTGATATCCCAGTCGTAGCAGAGCTTCGCCGCGATGTAAAGAACGTTGTGAAATTTGCCGAGTAGGCAAACCGACCCGTTCTCCATCATCGTGATATTGTGATAACGCAGAGCCGAGATGACGATCCTCTCGCACACATCCTGTTTGTCAAGGTTCTCCGCTGAAAGCGTCAGACAGCCGATGATTCGATCGTATCGCGAAAATTTTTTTTACGCGTAAAACGCGAGCGAGAAACGGAGATGCAAAAATTGTCTTGGAATTTTGGAGCGATGAGTTTTACGGTGCGTGGTATTTTTTACCGTTATTGCAATTGCATTAATGAAATAATAAAGACAAATAGAGGAATAGGATTAAAAGTTTAATGTAACGGTAAGATTATAATGGGTAGCGATATCTTTGCATGTTTCAGGTGTTCACGTCGCGTTGTAAAGAGACGGATAAGAAATTAGCAGCTATAACTATCATTAATATATGTTCGCGGGAATCATAGTCGTCTATAAATAAATGTAGAAATTTTTCCGTCAGACACAGGCAGGCAATAAAATAACGCTATCATGGTAATGATTATTATCGATCCATGGATGCGGCTCATTTGTCACTTACGCGGCTTGTGCGTAAATATTCGCACAGTACACACAAAGTTTGATTATCATAAATCTTGTTACCTTCTGCGCAACTGTTTATCACGTCTGTGAAATAATTGACCAATTCGCGACGTTTGTATCGCGAAGCTAAGCAACTGCGTTCCATTTCCGAGAACAATCGATCGAAATAGCAATCTATCAACACCTCCATGATTTGCATGTAATTTTAGTGACGTGTAAAAATCGCGCAACGACCATCGCGAGCGTTCACGTTTTAATGATTACGAATAGAGGAAAACGACACGACACAGAGTTAATTCAATTAGACGTAAAGTCGCATTTCAAAGGCTTCTTTGGCCCTTTCTGGGATAATCTGCATTTGTGCAGGAGTGATTGTCTATAAGCTTTTTACATATATATGTGAGAGAGAGAAACAAGATTTATTTATAAATAAAACTATTTAAAAACTATTTAAAAAAGTATTATCTCTTCTTTTCTTTTATACAATATTAAAATATTGTATAAAATATTGTATAAAAGGAAAGAAGAGATAATACTTTTTTAAATAGTTTTTAGAGGAATAATGGAACTATGTTATAACAATCATGATTACAACAATGTTTGTACAATTTGTTCCAGATATCTTTGCATGCCTGAAAATCAAGATCCACAATTTCTTTTGGAGTATAGAGGTCCCGTCTCTATGAAAGGGAAATCTGAGCCTATGAATGTATGGTTTTTATCCAGAGAAAGAGAGCTGACATCGTAAATCGTTATGGCAATTAATCGTGTAGCAATAATTTCGAGAATCAGTTTGAGGTATAAACTTGATGTACTGTGAAAAAATAAAATTCGTACATTTCTTCAAAGTGAAATGAGGTAATAATGATGGTAAAATATCAGCGATAAATGTGTATTTAATGTAAGAACACTTTTACGGTTTTCATGTACCATTTGATTATATATACGTGAAAAAGTTTATAAAAAGTTTATTGCTGATTTCCTACATTTGTTCTTAAGCAAATCCGACCACTAACACTTTATCTTCGACTTGATAGGCTGTTCAGCAACTGTAAGTGTACAAGGCAATCAAATATAATCGTTATTTATTTGGTGACATTGCGGTAATAAAACCTTCTTTTCCCGTTTTGTGCAACCCGTGTCATCCGACAGGCTATCGATAATCGCTTTCAGTGTGGAGGTCATAGGTGCGAAATGTTTTGCCATTAGCTGAGGAAAAATTAACAAGTATAACCAGATAGATAATCCGCACTATGTATGCGGCTGAGAGGTGTAACGGAACCTGTTCTATTCCCCTTTAAGTCTCACGCAAGGTCATTATAATGAATCTTACAATACATGCATTCTAAAATTTGATTTTAAAAATGCTGATGAGAGCGATGTATCTGTTTTTTTATTATTAAAGTTTATTTTATATAAAATTTTAGAAAATAACGCATTAAAATCTGATTATATTTATTTTTGTGAAATTATCTTTTAAATAATCATGACTATTTGCATTAGATCTTTTCAAGTCTTTGTTAAGGATATCATATTATATATTATATACAAGCAATTAAAGTAATAATTTTAAAAATGACATATAAACTATACATACATCTTGATAGCAACTGAATGAATAAACTGATATGAATGATGTATGAATACATGTGAAAAATCATTAATATAGTAATTTTAAAGTATTATGACATTACTCAAAGGATAAGCTGCTTACATAAATCACCATTAGATGATACATCATCATGCATATTTATGTCACATAGATTTAATCGTAGAATAGTGCTAACTATTAGTTATATATAAAAGTTATTGAAATGTTTTCATCGACTTCTCAAGACACACAAAACAATTTATCTCTGTATCATACATAAAAATTACAAATTCAAGTAACTTTGCATATGTGCAGTATAATTAGCAAAAAACATTGAATAAGAAAATATTAAAATGTATTCATATAAAATAAGATAATAAAGAGACCATTTGATCATGAAATAATCCCTAGCATCATGTTACGGATAAAGTCAATCAAATCTTCTTCGTTTTATTTATTTAGGAAATTTTTCATAAACATCCATTGCAACATCCTCAAATTATCCTGAATCATCGGAAAGATTTTCGGTAAGTATCGAGCATAGCCCTCGGGGTGGTCGCGCTTTCCATTCACACGGCCATTCACGGGATACTGTCATGCAAGGATTACAGCGAATGGTCCAGCGAGGACGCGCCGTGAGAAGAAAGGAGCACGTTTTGCAGCATCGTGTCGGTGAAATTTCGGCAGGTGCACACCGATAATTGTGCGTGCGTGCGTAAGTTCGTCGGTGTGCATACCTACACGTAAAACCTACCGGCGTGTCTACGTGAAAGGTAGATATGGTGAACGGTAAAGAGTCAGGTATTTAAATAAGGAACCAATGGATGAGGGAGGAAGAGAGGTCGATCCCGGGTGGCTCGGTAGAGGACGCCACGTCCACCACTTGGCTGGACAAGTATCTGTCTGGTGACTACAGGTCGAAAGAACCCGTTCTCGTCCTTCTAAGGGGTTTCGCCTTTCTCCCTCTCTCTCTCTCTCTCCTCTTCTCTTTCCACCACCACGTTGCACCTTCTTCTTCCCCATTGTAGACGGCCCGACGATTTCCCACTCCCCCTTTCGCTTTGGTCCCGGGGCCTGACTTCAGTCCCCACCCGGGCCGCGAAACTGCATGAGTGAATGTCAGCGGCACTCAGTACAGTTACTGACGTTTCGTGTTGTGAACGATCACCCGTTGATCGTCGTCGTCGTCATCGTCGTAGTCGTAGTCGTCGTCGTCGTCATCGACTGAGTCGAGTGCAATTTTACTATGCGCTCTTGATACACATACGCGTTCCGTAAGTGGTGTATTATCCTACCTCGTAGTCCCCCAGAACAGGTCTCTCTCTCTCTCTCTTTCTCTCTTCCTCTCTTCATGCCACGCATTATTTTCTTTTTTTCTTTTTTGCGTGCCAGTCCCGTACGTTCCACCGATCTCTCTCTCTTTCGCGCGCTCGCCAGGTAGTCCGCGATCTCGCACGGCTACAGGTGCGCGTAAGGTGCTAACGTTTTCTCGACGAACCGCGGGGCCTTCCACATTCTTCGGCCGATCGACCTGATTCGAACGGCGGCGCAATTCGTCAAACTCCCCCGTCGCGGTCGTCCTTGCGAATCGATCGATCTGGAGCGCGATCGACCGAATCGATTGCCAGAATTTGGACACTTTCGCGGAGTGATTGGTGTTTGTCTATACATCGCGCGATAGTAGAATTTGTATGTGCAATCTCAACTGTGAATTTTTATATATATAATTAATTCCATTTAATAATATACATTCTTTTATATTTGTAACAACTTGTGCAATATGGACCGTCGAATTCGGATAATAAAATAATGGTAATAGCACCGATACTCTAAAGATCGTGGAAACCTCACTTAACGTGTCAAATTGTCATCTGTAAAATTGATTCCAAGTCAGTTGATTTTAAAGCTCACTTTGCGCGAGATTGATATTTCGAAAAAAGGTGTCTAAGAGGATAAATGGTGATATATGAATTTTGTTGTTAAATTGGCGCGATATTAAAGAAACAATATTAGTTCAATGTTTCAGTGTACAATACTGCGAGGGTAACGAATTGTCGATGCGAATGTGTCGATGAAAAGCGGTATGTTGCAACGGCACTCGACTTTGATCGAGTGTTATTTTGCTCCAAATTGTAATTGTTCAGATCGAACGATCTACGTCGCATTTACGATGAATTAATATCCCGGCAAATCGCGATCAACGTTCGCTCCAACACGTGGCCGTTTCAAAAAATAGCTTCATTAATGTTCTTTAATGTTTCTCATTACAAGATAATTAGATGTATTTTGTTGGATAAACTCGAGGAAACGACGTAGTTAGTCTTTAATATAAACACGAATTAATTTAAAGAAGAAACTGCGGAAAAGAAAAAGGAGAAAAAGGAAGGAGAGAACAAACTTGTATAAGAAAGAGAGAGAGAGAGAGAGAGAGAGAGGGGCATTAATCCTTGACTTTCCAAATTCCTTCTCAAGGTGAAGCCTATCGAGCGGTGATTTTGTATGCACGTATGGATGAGATCGTGACGATGACCGTACCTCCGCCACTACCAGCCAAGACTCAGGTCCGAGATGCGAACCAGGCCGCTCGGCAGACTGTGTCAATCCGGACCGTTTCTCCTTCCGTCTCGCCGTCCCTCGCCACCGGACCCGGAGCAACGGTATTCGTCGGAGTTAGCGCACCTACCGTCGATACCGCGACAATCTGCAGGGGAAGAATCCCGGAAGTACAATCGGCGAACGGCGGTTACGAGGAACGGAGTGACGTCGTCGAGTCCTCGCGACAGCAACGGTGGCAACAGTCGCAGCAGCATCAGCAACAACAGGCCGCGCACATAGTCAAGATCAAGATCAATCCGGATGGCGACAAGAAGAACAGCAGGGTGATCTCGACGGTCAGATTGACCCTGGAGCCCGAGAACAATCGGGATCGCGAGGAGATCGAGAACGAGGCCTTTACCACGGGCAGACGTTGCGGTGACGGTGCGGTGGTAGTGAGTGCGACGAATCTGTTGAACGAGCGACACTGTGCGAGTGCCGGTGCCGGTGAGGGCTGTGTGAGGATCAGTGTCTTCAGCGGTGACCCGGCGTCCGACAATCAGGAGCGCAACGGCGACAACGAAGACAACCGAGACATGGTGCACCGCGGTACCACGGATACACTGAACTCGACCACCCTGGGCGGTCGTACCAACGCCTGTTTCTATTACAACACCTACCAGAGTCCGTTAAGCGGCATGGTAATGTCGAGCGGTCAATGTTCGCCTAGCGATACCTTAGACAGCGGTACGTGCAGCGACCTTGACGGCACGCCGCCGCCGTTGCCGAAGAAGAAGAACGCCAGCACGGTTATATTATCTAGCAGCACGCATAATCGAACCAGCAGCCTGACCAGTAGCGGCGCCGAGGTCGACAGTGACGACAACGAGAGCAACATCAGCTGCGACTCCTTGAACGGCAGAGATGCGAATGAGTATCAAGTACGCGAGATACCGAAGGACGAAGCGAAGATGGACGCCGTCGAGAAGTTGATCGCGCTTTCCTCGACTAATGGCAGCGACGATCGCATCGAGGAATCGGGTAACGTTCATCAGCAGATCTCGAGGATGACGTCGTCGAGCAGCGTCTCGTCGTCGCCATCCGGCACTTCGTCCTTGTCGAAAGCGTCCTCGACGCCGCGGATAAGGAGTCCCGAGCCGGCGATCGAGCAGAACGGCAAATCGACATCGTCGCCGGTCGTCAAAGAGTGCACGTACGAGGAGAGGAAGCAGCTGGAACAGGAGAGGACAGAGCAGGAGCAGTGCGTTGACGTCACTCAGAATCGGTCGACTGGTCACAAGTACCTGTACGAGGATGACAGGTATTATAATTTCCACGTGAACGAGCTGCGCGATAATAATAATAAGAACTCGAACGGCGAGCACGACGTCGCTGAGAATGACGAGAGTTTTGCCGGCTACAAAATTCACGATAAGGAAGCCATACGAAGTGCCAAAGGGACCGTGCGTGGTGTCAAGAATAGGGTACGAGCGGGCATCGCAACGTTCTTGCAGTCACCCACCTCCAAGGTTTGTTTCAAATTCATTCAATTTTTAGTATATTATGTGTGTGTGTGTGTGTGTGAGAGAGAGAGAGAGAGAGAGAGAGAGAGAGAGAGAGAGAGAGAGAGAAAGATCTAATGTCAAAAAGCACAAAGTGAATTTATAATAAAATAACATTTATAAAATGACATTTCAATTTTTCTTACATTTCTTTTACTACGACAAAACATTTCTAAAATATTCTTTTACAATAAGAAGCTAAATTATTTTTTGACATTTACAAGGGAAAGAACTAAAAAGCATTGTGCAAATCTCACATAAAAATCGATAAAAATTATCTTAAACAATATTGTATTACAAAATAATATTTCATGATAAATATATATACAATTTATACTTTATGCGAATAAGAATTAAAAAGAAATATAAAATGTCGTGCAGTATAGATTAAATTCCTCTCATACGTTGCGGCTTCTCGCATTTTAAATATCGATTAATCGACACTGCGAAGGAAGGTTGAACCTCTGTAAACGATGGGTCGACTTGTTATGCAGATCAGGTACTGGTACCGCGAGTACCTGAGGTGCTTATTGACAAGCTTGAAATGGATATCGATGCAAAAGCCCGGATTCTATGCTGAAATCCGTGCATCGAGCTAGATGCACTTAATTCACATAGTCTACAGGTCAACGCAAAGCGTTAGATTTTACAGTTAGATAGCCGTCCTCTATCGCTCGCCACTTTGGATCATCATCAGATGGCATCAATTGGTAACTCGTGTGTTCTAATACTCAAATTTGCACTCCACTTTCAAAAAATGCAATAAACCATACGTTTTTGATAATAATGGATAAACGTTAGATGTACGATTTATATATTATATTACTAATTTATAAAATAATTTTTTTATAATGAGAAATAGGTTTTTTTTTTTAATATAATTGTTACGTAAAGATGCAAAGTTGTACAAAACATGATGTGTTAATGATTTAAAAAAAAAATTAATTAATTAAATTTTATTAAATAATACTTCATGATTTTTATGACTCGTCTGAAATAACTTAAAGGAATTTCTGGGAATCTCTCTCTCTTTTATACTTTTCCTATAAAATATTACATGAGAAGTAACGTCAATAGGCAGAGGATCGATTCCTCGACGCATTCAAGCAGCAGAAGGGCTGTTATGTGGCGAGTCACCGTGAATGATAATCTCTTCGCAGCATCCTTTGACAAATATTTACTATCGTCTTCTCATTGAACGCGTTCATTTGTCGCGTTAATCAGCTTACTTGCACACCAACCTGCTTTATTATCTTCTGTCTATCGTTTCGATAATGCATTTCGCATTAAATTCGTCTCGGTTTTGCGGCGAGGAGAGATCTTTGCTATTAAGATCTCATCAAATTCGAGGCGATCGGCGTTAATATATGCATATATACTACGTACAGACGCATCTCTTTATTGCGAGATTTCCGGTGTTGCTATGCGAACGTCGTCGTGCGTACACGACGTTCGTACACCGTCGATGCGGAACGGATCGACATAACGGTAGATTCGATAAAACGATATTGCAGCAACGTGCCGAGAGAGAGAGATGCAACGTACCGAGTGAGATACATACGTATATGTACATCAGCAAGACACAGGTCCTCGTGTGTTCCACGTCTTGGTGCTTCTCTTTGTTATCGAGCACCCGCGTTGCCTATCCATCCCGTTCGCGAGCGGCCTATTTCGCAAAATTACAGAGAGACCGAGGATACCTCGCCTGCACGCAAATGCTTGCTGGCAACGGCTGAGAAGTAATCCCGTACTTCCTCGCGGCTAAATCTGCCTCCATGGCACGCCTCGATTGCGCTTTTCACGTGCAATGCGCCGCAAATGCGCGATTATCTCTCCGTTTCCCTCTCTCGCTCCTAAAAAATCGACACTCGCGATGCAAATGATGACAATTTAATGAGATACTTATATCTCATTTTCCGGTAATTACTGAAAATTAATGATACCGCTGGAAAAATACTTTTTTCTCTTTTGCCAAAAAGCGGTTTTTAAAAGTATCATTCGAAACAATAACATTTTTAATATTTTTCATAACAAATCGATACTCGCGAGATGCAAATGATGACAATTTAATATCAGATACTTATATCTCATCTTCTGGTAATTACTGATAATTAATGATACCGTTGGAAAAATCCTTTTTCTCTTGCAAAATCGATTTATAAAAGTATCTCATTTGAACCAATAATATTTTTAATTGCTCTTGTAAAAAATCAACTCGCGATGCAAATGATAATAGTTTAATGAGATACTTGTATCTCATCTTCTGGCAATTACTGAAAATTAATGATGCTGCTAGGGAAATCCTGTTTTTTTTGCAAAATAGATTTTTAAAAGTATTATATCCGAAACAATAATATTTTTAATACATCTAATAAAGGTTCTTGAGATCAGTTATAATTTATTTTAAGTAAAAATATATATATCGACAAGTAATAAGCATTTGGAATTTATTTATTAAGTAATTAAACGTATAATCAATTACACAATAGTCAATCGTTAATACGGTTTATATAATACGATACAATCTTTGAAAAAGAATAACACTTGCACTTTTGGCATGTCTACTTTAAGCTCGAATGACGACTTGATAGATTGTCGTGAAATACCGCTGTACATATGTACATGTATATAGAATTTTTTTAAGGGTTTTGATTAACCGCATGCTCGGCTGACCGCAATTTACGATATCAAAAATCTTGTATGATTTTGCGCCACTGACCGGTATGCAAGGAACTTGATTTCACATAAAAAAAAATTAAGTAAGTGTACCGACAGAGACTATACGACCTGAAATCATAAATATCGCTTCAGGTAAACCACCGTGCGGTATGTCCTACATACATCGATTCTCGCTTCCTCATTGCACATCGAAGCACGCAGATTTATCTCGTACTTGATGCATTTTACCGATACTACCGATATCATAAAAAAAAAAAAAAATGCACAAACATGTTTTATTTTTTGTTAAGTTAGGTCAACTTTGACTCTCACATGTAGACATTTTAATTAAAATAACGGAAAAGTAATTAAAATATCTCTAAGTATATAAAATTGTTTATTATTTATATTATATTGGTATATATATTGCAATATTATTTATACACAAAGCTGATTTTTGTGTGGCTTAATTACTTCCATAAAACATGTCGCACGGAAAATATTTAATATGAGGCAATTATTGCTCTCGCAGAGATATTGTGCAAATTTGACTTGCGAAAGATATGTTTATAGTAGATTTGCTTTGCGACAATCTCCTTTTATTGCTTAATATTCTGTACATAATAAGAGTTCTTGTGGTTTAGGCAAATATTCGAAAGTGCAATTGTCAGAATGTAATGCGAAATTATTTTCGAGTCTGAGAATAATTTCATTTGTTTGGACTTTAATGATCTTGACATCTTGCGAATATTGCAATTTCTATATGCCGATCATATTTTCACGATAAATAAATATGATATTATTATTATGAAATTTAGTCGGTTTCAAAGCGAAACGTGCAATAGGATATGACGCATCTGCTTCCGTGTAATTAGTACATAGCGAGGTATAACTTTAATCTGTCCCTCTCTCTCTCTCTCTCTCCCAAGTATACCAAAGTGACTGACATAACGAAACTCGTGTCTAATTCCGCCGTGGTAACTTCTCAGAACGAAACTTGTATAGAGAGAGAGTAGAGCTATATATCTTAGCATGTTGGTTAGATTTCGTATGTTGAATTAAACTTAAGAAAAAAATTGTGTAAATGTTTACACATTTTACGTAATAAAAATGTCTACACATTTTACATAATATATATATATATATATATATATATATATATATATTAACATAGCGATAAACACACATTTTATTTAAGCCAAATAAATAAAAATCGTCGAATATATTGTGATTATTAAAAAAGACTTATATATTAAAATTAGATATTTATATGTTGCAATGCAACGTTAAATATTTTTTTCTCACATTAAACGACATTTTACTTTCTCGGAACGATATAAACAATTAATATGAAATATAAACGAAAATAAACTGTGCACGCCAAATTGTATAAAGATAATTTATATATAAAAACTTGCGCGGAAGCGTTTACATTTCTCATACAGCGTTTCGACGAGTGATTATATACTATATGCGGAGTAGAGTATACGCAATTAAAATGTTACACATTTAATAGCCAGATAATTTGTTTAGTAGAGGTGTATGCTCCGAGTAGGGTTCCGTAATACGGCGAGCAGCTGGTTTTAATGCCGCTGTATTTCATTAAAGTATTTTCATAGAGAAAGAGCCTTAAGAGAGAGATCTGTGTTGCTTACGGCGCTGTGCAATAATTATGTTCAAATCTGAGAATATTATTTTCGCAGGAACTGCAAGAAAATCGCGGTGATAACTCTAATTGGCAATTTCTCAAGTATAAGTAAAAACAGATTAAAGTTACAGATTTTGATAAGCGCGACTGTGTATATCGAAATCAGTTGAATTATTTATATCGCGATCAACTATCGTTAATAAGAAAAAAAACTTTCTTTTTTTATTAAATGAGAAACCTAGTCATTATTCTTTTCTATTTTGCAATTGTACTTATTTTATCAATAGATTACATAATTATATGTTTTGTTACGTATAAAGAAAGGCGTACATTGAAAGCATTCAACCACAATAATATAGAACGTTCGATTTTCTCAAAAATATATACTTTCTCATCAATGAAAGTGGAGCAGTAGATGTAATTAACAGTGATTCGTACAAGAGAAAAAAAGAATAATTACAAAAACGTATTAAACTACTGATTTATTGCTTTTTCAACGATTCAGCTCACATCAAACTTTGTGTTGGCCGAGATGTTACACATCGTGATATATTCAACTTATCGACTATATCTTGTTCCGACCGACCACGTAATTTCATCGCGCTACGTGTTTCATGCGCGAGGTGCCCAAGTCCACGCATGCAAATCGCAAATTAAGTAC